AAAGTTTCATCCATCGAAAGTACTTTTAAAAGTTCATGAAATAAAAATCTTTTTGCACAAGGAATTCTGTCTTTATTCTCCTAATCTATCACTGCTTCATTCAAGCTAACTCACCCTCAATCCGCTTTTGTTCTAGAGAGGTGCAAATACTTCATTAGGATGAAGCTTCAAACAAAGCGCCCTTTCAAACAATGAAAGCTAGGATTCCAACAATGGAATCCTAGCTTCTGAGCCTGAAGATGGCATCTATGTTGTTTTACTTCAATCTTCATAATGCTTTATCCTGCAGAGCCTGTGCTATCACACAAGGCTGAGAGACCTGCCCTGCAATCTTGGCTGAAAAGTATTATATCCATGTGGCTCCATACAGATCTTCGGGAAACCATTGAAATATTTGCTGGAGGGACTTCTTGGAGAAATACTATAAAATACTGTAAAAACCATACTAAAAAGACTTCCAAGTTAGGGTGGCCATAGGGAATTTCAAAGCACTCCTGGGAGGCATTCTAAAATCTAGAATCACCTTAATGTAGGTTGTGGATGACACTGAAGGTTCCAACTTAGAGTTATAGGTACCAACTTACAGAATGACTCCCAAGCTGACTACCTTCATTACAGACTGTAAGTTCATTTCAAGCCACATTACTAAAAAGCTTTTCACCCAGCAGCACAGAACATTAGTAGAAACCTTCCATCACAATGTTGGCCAGAAGCAATAAGCTGAACAAACTGAAGCATATCTATGTTACTATGTCCTTCGTGGATGGTAGTTTAACCTCTGTTTCAGAACCTAGAGAACAAGAGATCTAGATTCTTCAATCTGGGACCATCTAGTATCTCCCAGATCAATAGATCTGATTAAGACCCTGTTCCTGTATCTGCCAAACCACAGCTAAAGGCCAGTTTGGGAGACACTGCAACCACCAACATAAATGTTTAATTATACGTAAGAAATGCTTCAGTTATGTTCAGCATCTGCATTTAAACTAAACTGCCTGGAATAGAAAATGAATGGAACCATTTTTGAACCTCTGCCCAAACTAAGGCAGGCTAAAATAATTTAGTGCATGCTAGTACATCTAAGCGTGCAGCCACTAGTAGAGTCTACATTTTTAAAAAATGTTGCACGCATGCAACGATACGTATTCCTCCTTTCATTTCAAGGAGACCCGAAGTCTTTGCTTTTGTTTTTTTATTTAAGTAGGAAAACCCACTTTTGTGCATTCAATTACAAGACCTTAGAGGAAAAGAAAGTCAATTGCATAAAACCATAAATGAAGGCAGCTGTCAGCCAAAGTGGCCTTTTCAAACTCCTCTCCATTCTTTCCATATAGCATGGCAAGGAAGTCTTATCAGATATCTTCAACCAATAGTCTGTCTTTTCTTGGGGTAAAACTGAGGAGACTCTTACTGGCTGGGGAATTCTTGGAGTTGAAGTTAAAGTTGCCAAGGTTGAGAAATACTGGTCTAGTTTCTAAAGATCGACTTTTAGACCATAAATCAAAGACATAAGGGAAGATCAGAAGAGAGAAAAGCTAACAGGTTTAGCCTCTCTGCCAATAAATCCAAAATAATGAACATAATCAGTCCCACTTTTGGTAAATGGGCATGCCAAAGTCTGACCCACAAATTTTCAATGCTAATAATTTGATTTCTGCTTTATAGTTGGTTCTGTTTTTCTCACAGCTAAACAAATATTCTGCTGGACCTGTTTATTTTACAAGAAGAATACTGATCTTGTGCAGTTCCATGTATTCAACTCATGCTACAGCCATCATGACTAACGTGGTGCCATGCAATTCCCCCCCCCATACAGACATTTACTGATTTTCGAATTTATTCTCAGAATGATGGACAACTGTTTTCATCTTTCTCTTAGCGTTTGTTTATTAGTCAAATTGAGATATTTGCTGATAATTGCTGCATGAGATGTGTAATTTTACTACTGAGCTGTGATTGAAACTACTTTCTAGTAGGCATTTTCCATCGTTCTGAAGCCTCACTGGTTAGAATAAAATAGAATAGAATTCTTTATTGGCCAAGTATGATCAGACACCCAAATAATTTGTCTTTGGTGCATATCAGAGGTGGCATTCAGCAGGTTCTGACGAGTTCTGGAGAAATGGCAGCAGAAATTTTGAGTATTTCAGAGAACCAGTAAATACCATCTCTGACTGGCCCTACCCTCATCTATTCTCTGCGTCCCAAGGCCCAGCTGATTCAGAGGAAATTGGGATTTTGCAGTATCCTTCCCCTGCCATGCCCACCAAGCCACGCCTACCAAGCCATGCCATGTCCACCAAGCCACGCCCACAGAACCAGTAGTAAAAAATAATTGAATCCCACTCTTGGTTCATATGCTCTCAATGTACATAAAAGAAAAGATACATTCATCATGAATCATAAGGTACAACACTTAATGTCATAGGTTACAAATAAGCAATCAAGTGGTTGTCTCACTTTCCAATTTTAAAGAACTCAAATGATAGCTCTGTGAGGTTTAATCAAAGCTATAAATATTTATTGACTATGTTTATAAAGATTTGCACATCTTAGTTAAATCTTACAAGATGATTCTTGGCAGGAACAAAAGAAGCAAAGGAACATATTCTCCGTGCTGGAAAATCTGGACATCTTGAAGAGATAGTATGTTCTCCGAGTTTGTTTTAAATAACCCAACTCAAAAACTGTGGAAAGTGGAATTAGCTCTGCCACTTTCCTATAGCTAACAATACAAGAAAGTTTGACAGTCACAGATGTCATCAATAGATCTGCCTGCAGGAAAAAAAACCTGGCCCTCTAAAGCCCCATTCCAAGCAAAAGAGGTGAAATTCCTCTCTGCCAATGGAGGGGACCACTGCTCCATCCAACTCTGGTTTGAAAAAATACATTCTCTTAAATATAGAGTTTGGGGGTTCCAGAAGAACTGTTTATGATCTAATTTCACAAAATACAAAAATGCATTATGCAGCTGTAAAAATTCTCTGGTATGAACCCCCCCCCTCTCTCTTTCTCTTCCTCCCTCTCTTGTGTGCAGGTACACACACAACACATGCACACAAACACACAGAGCTATATCCTTATTGGTATTTGTATATCCAGCTTCCTCAACTTCAAAGAGCTGACATGATCTTTATCAAGGTCAGCACCAGCACAATTTCTGTTCATCACTTATCAGCTTCTGTGGTTTGCAATTCTGCTGTTTCATTCAAACCAGATGTGTGAAGGTCCAGGTTTTGTGCTAAACATCTCCAATAGGGAGAGAGGGAGAGAGGGAGGAAGAAAGGGAGGGAGGGAGGGAGGGAGGNTCCTATTGGGGCCCTAAGGAGCCGAGGTGGGCAGGCAAGGAGTGGCTAGGAGAGGAGGGGTGAGTAAAGGCCAGTGAGGTGTTCCTTGATGTGAGTGACATCAAGTTGCCCACCCAGTCACATGATCACCTAGCCACGCCCACCGAGACAGTCATTGGGCAGATCATATTAGTGGCCCGCGGGGTTTAAAATTATGAATTTATTTATGAATTTATGCCCTTCCCTGAGGTCCAAAAGGTTGGGGACTCCTGTTTTAGAATATAGAATCAGAAGGCTGGAAGGGATCGCAAGTCTTCTAGTCCAACTCCTTGCTCATGGCAGGATACCTTACATCATGCCAGACCCCTTGTCCAATCTCTTCTTGAAAACCTCCAGCGATGGAGCACCCACAAATCCAGGAGGCAAATTGTTCCATTGATTAATTGTTCTCAATCCCAGGAAACTTCTCCTTTCTTCTTGGTTGGATTTCTCTTTAACATGCTTCTACCCATTATTCCGTATCCTGCCCTCTGGTGCTTTGGAGAATACCATAAGTCTGTCACGTTTTCTCTTTCCATTTGTTTTTATTTAGCTTATACCTTGCCTTAGTTCCTTATCTAACAAAAACTATTTTGAAATATACTTGAAAGGCTGCCAAATTAATTATCAACTGTTATCTCTGTTACCTATTATGATAGTCAAATGTAATTATATGTATATAATACCAAGGCATGCAGCCAGAACATACATGCATCTCTCTAGTATAAAATTAAACAGAAAAAGAGCTTGCTACTTTAGCATTCTGATGAAAAATGTTTTCTGTCTAGTATTTTTAGTATGAGTTTAAGAACCTTATGAAAATATAGCAGAAACCAGTAGCAATTCTTAGACAATAGAGCAAGCTTTTTAAAAAAAAAGCCATGCAAGGAAAATCGTTGAATAAACTAAGTGAAATATGATCTCCAACCACTGCAGATTATATATATATATATATATAACTTAAATAAGGAACAACATCAAACAAAGAAGTTTTTTTCTTTCTCTCTCACTTTTCAAGACACCATATGTGTTAAACTGAGTCCCAATACTTTTCTGGAGCCCTTTATTGATTTGATTTTGAGGAAGACTGGAAGACCATTAGTCTATCATCCTCAGCACAATATAACGCCACTCACCCTTTTCATATTCCATTAGAGGAATAAAACCAAAGGAAATGGAAAATAAGGAAAAGGAGGAACAAGAACACATGGGAACAACAACAAGAAGGAAAAAGGACATTTGCAAACATCACAGAAGAAAGACATATAACTATTCCCTTCCATTTCTACATAGGGAAACAATTTCCCCCTTAAAGCAAGGTAGCATTAGAAAGAGAATTAAGAAGGCCCGACTTTAGTGTACTCCTGATAAAGGTTGAATTAAAATATGTACAATCCAGTTTCCCTAGATTCTATAACTTTATCCTTGCAATTTTTTCCCTTGTAATAATTCTGGTTAAATAAAACTCTGAGAAACTACTTTTCTGGGTTACTGTTATGGATTTGACACTCATTGTGTTATTGCATATGGTTCATAAACACAAGAGAATCACTACAAAAATAAGTTATTCAGAGCAACTTCTTATGTAACAAGCTAGTGTGAGAACCTCAATGCCCCAACCCATAGCTCTATTTAAAACCCATACTGAGCAAAAATGATGGCAAATCAACTCACAGGTTCTTGCTCCAAAAGAAGAAGGCTCACAACGACGATATTGATATCACTTCCAATTGTACCATCCTTGAAAAGACTTGAGACCTGCAAAAAGATTACCATGGCAAAGAAGATAAGGAAGATAGAACAACTGGTTGGCAAGTAAAACCAATAGGAAGATGAAATTCACTCCTGACACAACTATAAAATTAAAACAGAAATGGACAACTAAATGCTTGAGGGACACATGGAGCACATCTTCTCTTGGTTTTGAGCCTCACCAAAAATTGTGCAGGAAAAATTGTGGGGTAAACCAATATATTTCAAAGATACTTTGGTAAACATGGGGTAGGGTGGGGCCATTAGTAAAAAATAATAATGTGAAAATGTCTCAACAATATTAATCTAATCAAGTAGAATCAAGATTGACATATTAGCATTCCTAATTCTTGATGGAAATTCTAACAGAACATGCAAATATGGGCAATTGGAGGACAACTATTATGGGAGTAAAAGGGCCTGGAATCACACACAAAATATTTCCTCTCTAGTTTTGCAAAGTAGAGTGGACAGGTATTAGAATAACTGTCTTAGCCAGGTTCATATTACACTTTTGGTTTTGATTTAACATGTTTAACATGATTCCCCAACTATTGCATTTGTCTATCCAGCTTTAGAATTTCAGTTTTCATATACCGTATTTTTCATACTATAAGACACACCTAGGTTTAGAGGAGGAAAACAAGAAAAAAATATCAGGCAGAGCCTGAGAGGACCACAGATAGGTGTCCTATCATGTGCCAGCTCTGCCTATTGACTCCTGCACTGCAGAAAAGAGACAGAAGAGGCAGGGAATGAGAAAGACAGAAGAGACGGGGTTCAGCACTGTAAAAGGACCCAGCCGCCACGGACCGACTGCTATTCACCAAAGGACCAGCACCGGTCAACCGTTGGGCCCCCCTGAGGTAATACACTTCACGGTCTGTGATGCAATATTTGCTCCATAAAACGTACAGACATTTCCATGCAC